GGACTCATTCATGTGCTGTAAGGAGGTGGGGCCTGGCTGGATATGGTCCCTGGAATGTGACCTAGAAGGGTGCGTCTTGTCCCTGGCTCCTCCCTTCCCTCTGCCTCCTGTCTGTCATGGCTTGAGGCCATCATGGTGTCCCACCAGGCTGTGTCTGCCTGGGAGCCAGCTGGCCTGGCCTGAATCCCCTGAAATGGGAGCCAAATTGAAGCTCTTCTCCATTAAGCTGTGGTGTCAGGTACCACGTTTTCAGGGACAGGAAAGCTGACAGATGCACAGGCCTCTGCGATTCCAGGCCTCAACTCTCTGTTATGTAAGTTTTCGCCTAGGCACCAGCCTCCCAATATTTTCACTTGGTAAGCTCACGGAAATTCAAGCCCAACACTTGATTTCCTGCGCCAGACTGGCGACCTCCCCAGCCACCAGCAAGAAGTCTCTGCTCCTCACGTGCGTGGCCAGCCCCAAGCATCGAGCCCTGCGCCTCTGCAGTCTCTCAGGACGCCGTTGTTCCCGGGTGGACTGCACGCCAGCCACTCAGCACCTTCTCTGAAGTCCTTCTCCCAGGGCTGGGGATAATACATCCCTGTCAGACTGGAATGCTCTTTTCCTTACTCTAGGGTTAGAAACTTTCAAATCTGGAGAAAGCACAAAACTCAACACAGAACCTCTGACTCTACCGAGCTGGACAGACCAAGGCAGTACTCTGCATGAGAATGTTACATGTGCATTTTTTAATTTTAGGCACAACGCATGCAGATCTGATTTAGCTCACTTATGAGTGTGGTCTCTAGCTGCATCCATTTACTTATAAAAGCCTTACGTGTGTAGAAGTATCATATCTTTTTATCTAATCTTTAGTGCAAACATCACATTGTCTCCTTAGTGTAAGAAACTGAAAGAGTAAATAAAATCCAAAAGGTACAAAAGATATTGTGAAAGGGAAAGAAACTCCTCAAAAGGAAAGAACAACTGGAACCAGGGAAAGGAAACAAAGAAACAAGGAAGGTAAAATATATGATAGCTACCATGACTGTACTACTCTTCTTTATTGGTTTACTGAAAGGAACAGTTAGTGCCTAAGTGATCAATTGTTCATGCCTCTATCTGGTAATCTGAACAACTACTTTGAAGACAACAATACACAATATAACAACCACTTTTAACTTTTTATCACCTTGTTTTGAAATTTTGTGTCATTTTTATTGTTTTTATTCTCTTTTAAAGAAAAATCACAAATTTTAGTTAATCATTATGTTTCCATAAAGCACTGTCGGCACTGACCACAGCACTCACAATCTGGACCTATCCCATCTCCTTCCTTTCTTCTTGGCCTAGAGATGAGCCCGACCCAAGGCCGGGACGCCCCTTCGCACTTGCTCTTACAATTCTTCTGTGTGTTATTACTTGTTACTCTCTGTGCTTTAAACCTTGGATGAGTGGAGTCACGCTATCTCCTCCTAACCTTTCTCATTCACTCCGCGCCCTTTCACACAGAGATCTGGTTCACTCTGCCGCACTCTAAAGAAACCGTGGCTTACAACTGCCCTGCGGCGGATGCTTGAGCTCCTTCCGCTGAAAACCAACGTGAACTGGGCTACGGTGAATGCGGCCGAGATGCTTCCCTAAAGCAGGTATCGAGAACCAAGCACTGCGTGGGGCAGCCCCGGCTTCAGTCTCGCTAGGGCTTGCCAAACTGCTGATCCTCCACCTCACCCTGCATTTGAGGGCCCAGCGTAGAAGAAATTTGAGCACCCTGCCTGGGCCTGAGCTGCTCCACCCTGAGGGCCTGCAACCCTAAGGGCAGGTTAGGACTCCCAGGCCCGGTGGTTTCACTGACTCCTCTGACCCAGAGCAGCGGCCTCCACTCCCGGGAGGCCTGGGTGCTCTGGACTCCCGACCGCCTGACTGGGGCTCACAGGTTTGAAGACCAACTGGCTGTGGCTGTCGGGTGCCGCTGACCATGAACAGGGGGCCAGCCACTGCCTTTCTCAGATATGGAAACCAGCAAAGGTGAGGATGGTGTTTTACACACACACACACACACACACACACACACACACAGAGCTTCATGTTTTAGAGCAGTTTACACTGCTGGAAATGAGCACAAAGTACAGGGCCCCGGCTAGCTGCGTGCCCTGCCCTGCCCAGCACACCACCCACCCCTTCAAAACTCCAAGCCAAAGTGGTGCTGTTGTCAGAGTCAGCGAGCAGCACTGGGTCCCCACCTGCCCTCATGCCCACAGCTGCCACTGGAGTCACTGCTGGGTGGATGCATTTGCACAAATGGACGGCGACACGCAGCCCCACTCGCACCATATTGAACAGCTCCACTGTGCTACCAGCAGCCTGCCCACCTCCTGCTTACCCCCGGTCCTGCCAGAGTGGTGGCTGCTGCCCCCACGGTCCTAGCGTCTCCCCAGCTCAGCTCGCAGGCCAGGGCCTTCCCAGCTGGGCTGCCTTTGCTCAGGAATATGCATCTCAGGGGCCTCTGAGTCTTTTGGCGGCTTGCTAAGTCACCTGGCAAGTCTGTCCCCTATGGGCATGCACCTTCATCAGCTCTTATTCATCAGCTTGCTTAATGGAAGACA